ATGTGCATTGCAATTCAGATCCCACGCCGATTAACGTCACCGTTGTTGCCATGTTGTTGTTGTTGTTCAATTAAAAATTCCAAACACAAGTGACCACAATTTACCTCGTTGAAGTTTTGATATCTACTATAATTGTGCACGATTGCGCATCCTTTAAAGTATCGTTGCAGCTCCAACGGTGGTCGTAAATTACCAAAACTGTCAAAATACGTAATGCGTTTACCACGTTTACTATATGCTACCCAATGAGTGCCAGGGTTAGTGGAAAGGTCCAAGTTCACTACACCCATTTCGATTGTTTTCGGTCCCGACTGAGGTAACTTGTCACGACAGAACACGCCACGAAACACTTTACGATCGAACGCTCGACTACCGAAATTTGCAATTTCAACATCGTACAAGGCACGATCGGGTAGCTGTGAAATTAGTTTTTTGTTTTTTTCTTATGATTTTTTCGAGACGTCTTTTTCTTAGTTTTCGTACTCGCCGTCAATTTGAAACCAGACCCCGATTTGTATGGTTGCAGGTAAAATCCTTTACCTATGCTTATCGCTGTATTGCCTTTACGGTTAATTTCGGTAGCCATCTTGACCACATTTGCAGCACCGCCGGCTAAAGCTCCCAACGCCGACAGTCCGGCAAATATAGGTATAAGCGGTAGTACACCGCCTTTAGTTTTCGGAACGTTTATGGTACGGGGCAGTGGAATTTTTTTCTTTCTCACCACACGCCGTGCTGCCATCAACGATCGTTTTGCTACACTCAATAAATCCATTTGTTGAGCATTTTTATCCAGTTTGGCCGCACGCACGATTCGTTTAAAACCCATACCGAGTTTACGTTTCAATTTCATTGCGTTGTTCACACTCCAAGCTGCGACTCGTTCAGGCAATTTAGCGTCTTTGGCCAACACTCGTTCCCAAGCATGATGTTGCAACACCTTATCCGCTTTATGACGGTCCTCGAGATTCTTGTGTTTACTATAAATGATATCGTAATTGCGGCAAGCAGCATCAAGCGGGTTCACTCCAACCTCACCTCGCTTTAATCTCTTTTCTAACCGTGTTCCAGGGCCCGCAAATGGATAACCTAAATAGTAAACATTTAAAATAATGATAAAACTATTTACAAAGAATAATTTTGAATAATTACACACACACACACACACACACACACAAATACACACCTGGAATGTGGGCTTCGAATGGTAATTTGTTGTTATACTGTTCAATATCCCTGCACCTTGTTTTCCACGTTGTCTCTGTTTAACCATTATTTTTATATTGACGGTAATGGTTCGATGACGTGCGATGCGTTTCAAAAAACAGACCCTCACGCTACTTATCGTGAATTTTGAAAAAAGTAGTGATATTGCATCCAGTAAACACGGTAAACTATTGNAGCGTGGCATTAAATTAATCTAAGACTACATTAAATATAAACTACAAATGAAGAACAGAAACAATACGTTTTACAAATAGTAAGTAATTATCGGAAAAAATTTCCTAATTGTAAAAAAAGTACATTATCAAAAAAACCCAGCACAGGGGGGTCGCGGCACAGTGGTGACGTGGCATAGTTGGATCAAGTATAATGATATCTTTTTTTTTTCTCCGACCGGCGCAACTGTGGACCGCCCTGGAACTACCGTGAGGTATTACTTCAGGGCGGCCCACGCCGTCTCTAAAACTCACGCCACCACGTTGTGAATCAGCCCGAAATTAATCAAGAGCTGATTCACAACGTGGTGTGGCCTCCTCCGTTGAAAACGAAGGGGCAAAAATAACTCACATAAACATAAAACATATAAACACTAGTACCTAAGGCGCCGGCCTAAACCAGCGCCTTAGGTCCTCCTGTACCGGGCGGCGCGGCTGCCTCTGTCTCAGGCGTTCAGCTTCCTCCTTCTTTTTCAAGATGGATTCGGCGAACACCTGGACGAGCCTCCACGCCTCCCGGCTCCTCAACATCAGGTCCACCATGGACCCGACTCGGAACGTGGACCCTAGTCGAGACTCTAAAGAGTCCCATTCCTGGGCCCACGCCTCGCACCGGAAGAGGGTGTGCAAAGCGCTATCAGCCTCTCCCGGGCGATCCGAACAGTACTGACCGATATCAACGGACTTCGATTTGAAAATGTATACGTTTACTCAAAATCATTGCAAGTATAAACTACTCGTGGAAGTTTTACGTGGTGTCAAAGGAGTGCAGTTGTTTACCTATGAAAACGGGGAAGATGTGCCGTCGGTGGATAACATTCTGCCCAATTCTGTTTTTATATTCGACGATGTTGTTATGGAAAAACAAAATGTAATGTGTGATTATTTCGCGCGTGGACGTCACCGTCGAGTTGACGTGTTTTTTCTCTCACAAACATTATCACGCATACAAAAACAAATGTTACGTGACAACACAAATTTGGTGGTGTTGTTCCGACAGGATGAAGTTAATCTACGGCACGCGTACGATGAATACGTGTGTTGCGATATGAAATTCGGCGAATTCAAAGAGTTTTGCAAACATTGTTGGAACAAAGACCGGTATGAATTTGCAGTGATTTGTTTAGACTTCGCGCGTGACGGTGGCCGGTATAGATACAAGTTTGACACATTTGTGACGATATGAGTACTATTAATAATGGAATTCGTGAAGAAAAAAAACGTTGTTGAAATTATTGACGGAAGCCCGGGAAAATGTTCGAAAAAAGTACACGGAATTGCATCGTGGTGAAGCGGATTCATTGAGTCGCGTAAAACGAGAATTGGCACCAATCATTGCACCATTGGATAAAATCGTGACACAGCAACAGCAACAGCAACAGCAGCAGCAACAAAAACATGAACAACAACTACAGCAATCCATCAAAAGTTAAAATGATGATAGATACAATATGGAACACGATGATGGGTTTTTTCATCAGTACATGCACCAATGGTCAATGAACCCGAACAGAGACAAAATGTATGGACCAAAAGTGACACCAGAAGGAACATTGACAATAGGTGGAGTCGACAATATCTTTGTCAATGGAGGAATAATCAACGTACTGGAGAAAAAATTCCTGCTGACATTAGGTCTTGTGGACTTACTTTTTTCGAAAAATCCCGGTGTTTACTCCGAATCGGATTTGCAGGCATACAAAACAATTTTACTCGAAACCGGTGTACATTTGAATAAAGACGGAACATTAAAAAAAGGAGGTCAAAAATATGTTAACACTATTAAACCATTGTTTGAAAACAATGATGGTGGTAGCGCAAACAATTCCTTACCATTATTTGAAAACAGCAGCATCAGTGACACATCTATTATCGGTGCGGGTCTACAGTTAAGGTTGAACAACAAGAAAAAAGAGTATGTGTACTGGGACGAACCCAACGAGCTCGTAGATCGTTTACGTTTATTGATATCGGCCCGGTCAGCTGGTAACACTGGAGTTGCACCGGAAATCATTTCTATATTGGAAGAGTTGCAGGAAACCGGTTACATTGAACAAATACCATCAACATTATGAATAAGAACATTGCCTATGAACTACATCAGCAGGCCCGTAGGACGTACACCCGTGCTCGAATAAATATCAAAGGTCTCGATGATGTTTGGCATGCTGACCTCGTGGAAATGCGCGTATACCCCGATCGACATCATCGGTATATTTTAACGTGCATCGATGGATTTTCAAAATATGCGTGGGCCATTCCGTTGAAAAATAAAACAGCCAAAGAAGTTACTGCTGCCATGAATGGAATATTAAAACAAGGTCGTCATCCTAAACTTTTGCAAACGGACAATGGTAAAGAATTCTACAACAAACAGTTTCAAAAACTGATGTCACAATATGCAATCAATCACTATTCAACTTATTCCACTATGAAAGCCTGTCTCGTGGAACGTTTTAACCGCACGTTGAAAAACGCAATGTGGTGCGATTTTAGTGCACGTGGTTCGTACAAGTGGGTGAATCGGTTGCCTACGCTGTTGCACGAATACAATAACGTGCGTAAACATAGAACAATCGGAATGATACCGGTGCAAGTTGTGCAAAACCCTGNATCGGAATGATACCGGTGCAAGCTGTGCAAAACCCCGACCTGGTTCGACTCAAGTTACGCAAAATACCCGATAATTTACCGATAAAATTCCACGTGGGTGACAAAGTTCGGATTAGTGTACATAAATTAGTGTTTGACAAGGGTTATTTGCCGAACTGGAGCACCGAACTATTTACCATAGTCAAGGTTAGACAATCAGTACCACCAACTTACTATCTAGAAGACTATCAGGGAAATCCAATACGTGGTGTGTTTTACACCGAAGAGCTGAACAAGACCAGTTATCCGGACATTTGTTTAGTCGAACGAGTGTTGCGAACACAAGGAGATCAGTGTTACGTTAAATGGTTAGGATTTGGCCCAGAACACAATTCATGGATACCGAAAACCAATATCTTACCTCAATGATTGTCGATATACAAGGTATTGTAGCAGCTGACCGATCGTTTTTGGTCAAGGAACTGACTGCTATTGCCATAGACTGCACTTCTTTCGCCCATTGGATGTTCAAACATCCAAAAAGTATCAAGGAGGATGCTAAAACAAACTTTTGGTTGAAAAAATACCTACATGGAATGGATACACGTTGCGGGGATGTGGAATACAATGAGTTGCCGAGAATAATGAAACTCTTGCGATGCGAAACCATTTACGTGAAGGGAGCTGTAAAAAAGCAAGTAGTGGAAAAGTACATACCAGGACAACGTATAGTCAACGTAGAGGATTTGGACTGTCCTCCTCTGTACAATTTAAGTTGTATTACAAAACCATGTTGTATCCGACACATGAACAACCCAAATATGTGCAGTTTATATAAGACTATATGTTTAAAACAATGGATGAATTATAACATGTAACGCTATTGTATTAAAAAATATATATATTTATATAAACACGAATACTTTATAATATTCATTTTTATTTCTACAATAAGTATATTTTTCATAAATAAATTATAAATTAAAGATTATATAATAAATTGACATATATTGTTAATAAAATACTAAATACAATAATATATTTTATACAAAATAAATTGTTATGTATTTAAAGAATAATGTCCCCACGCTTTTGTATATACATTTTTATACTCAAACTCATCACCGACTATTGCACGCTTGTCATAGTTGTTGGACAATGCGAGTTTCCTCGTTTCTACCGTCAAAACATTGTGATGTTTTGAACGTATGATGGAAATTTTCTTGTGAATTTGTTTTAGTTTATTTCGCAAACAATTTAAATAGTCAACCATATTTATTTCATGTTTCACTACACCCATACTAATACCCTTCAATCGCTTCACTTCTTCTTGCCGCAAAACGTTTTTATAATTTTTGTAGGCAATCAGGTACGCATAGACTTTGGGCAAAAGTGCAACAATTTCCTCCATATGCATACCTTTACATTCGTCGGTAAATGTACCCGGTTGTTTTTTACGTTTATCACTGTAACATGGATGATCAGTGGGATAGTTGGAAGTGTCGAAGTATTCAAACAGATATTTTTTCAAATCATCCTGAAAACTATGCGTTAATATTAAATAAATAAAACTGTCGGTATCCATATACACGAGTCTTTCAGAACCATAAAATGGTTGCATTACATCATAATGAAACTTGTACATGATACATTTACTAATATCCAACACGGCCTGTCCAATAAAAATGGGTTTAAAAAAATTAATTTTTTCTTTATACATGTGTACAGCTACAAGATTTTCATTAAATATTGTGGTGTGACCAAACGACGGTTTCGCTACCAGTTTTGATAATTTATCTTCGTTACAAACAAGTTGAATATTTTGATGTTTTCTCACGTTTTCCAATGTTTTACCTAGTAAAATTAAAAATTTTTATTATTAAAAAAATTAAACGTATAAAAATATTAGTAATACCATAGTTGGAGTTGATCATATATTTTGGTAGATCTTGTTCAAACTTGTTGGAGGCTTTTTTACGTAATTCTGTATTCATTTGGATGTAGGGTGCCAACCATCGAGATTGTTTAAACTTTATGACTTTATGCAGTTTTGTGATAACCACACCGTGTTTTACCGCTTGCTTTAATGTTCGATAGTGTACAACGTAATTACGTTTTGGAAACAATGTGGTCATCAGTTTTTTGTATTTGGCAGACGGTAGAGGTGGTCGCTCGTTTACCGGAAAAAATGGTAAATCGTTGTGTAAATCATGTAAATGTTGTGGATAATCTACATCGACTTGCACAAGATATCCATGATCAGCATCCTCAGCTGTGTCAAGTATTTCCTCCAATGTAACAGTTGACCATTCAAAATTACCAAGTGGCATCGGTTCCATCATTGCTTAAAAAAA